TTTTTTTCAACTTTTGCGATTTTTTTAACCATGTTCGCCATTTTGGATCGAGTTTAAAGAACAAGAAACTCGATTTAAAATTTAATTTTCTATACGGTCATATTTTTTTTTGTCCAGGTAATAATTCTGTAAGCATTTCTCTATAATGCTTGGACTAGCAGTGTATCAAGACAATTAAATGTATATAGGTAAAACTAATGTTTACAAAACTTTAAAAAAGCAACTTCTTCGGCCATTTCATTTAAAAATTTAGATCCCAACGCACGTTTACAATTTTGCCGCTGGTTGGTGAATGGCTTCGCAGAATAATGCTTCAAAAATTGTTTTGTACCTACGAATCTTGTTTTACAAAGAACGGAGTTGTACATTTTCATAATTTGCATGTGTGGATAGTGATGAGAATCCTAAAGAAACACGACAATAATGATATTACCTGATTAGCAATCAACATCTTGTTTTCATCGCCTACTGAACTCAAAGTTTTAAATCCGTGAAATTGCTACGCAAACCGAAACAGAGGGACCTTCAAATAATGCCATTTGTCTCAAGAATGGCTTTCTGTAGCCGATTTTCTCAAGAGACAATATTTCTATTAAAGAAAACGACCTTCTTGCTGCCCGTTTTTAAAAAAATACGACCACTGTAAAAGTTTTGACCGCTAAAAGGAAGAGGTAAATGAAGAAAACTATCACCCAGTACATCGATCTGACTAAAGCTTTAAGAAATAATACGCCATAATAGTCCAAATAAATGTGCAAAATTTTAACGCGATGGGTAAAAAGGTTATGAAGTTATTAATTAAATTAGTTTTATTTTTGACAAGTTTGAAGGCTTGTAATTCAAAAACCAAAAATTTTTTATTTAACATTTTTTTCGTAGATCGTATTTATTTATCGTGAATGTACAGTCGAACTTTGTTGGTGAAATTAGCGGACACCCTGTATATGTAAGTATTTGCATAATAGTAGGACACAAAAAGAGAGTGTCTATTTTTCTACATTAAACGCTTCACATGGAACTTTTACCATAAAATATATAAAGTCGGTACAATATTTGTTGAGATAGAATTCCAAGAAAAGAATAAGCCAATAAAGTTCTGTTATCTGAACTACTGAAACAATTTACCGCTGCAGGGGCGTGCCTTAAAATTTGCCGCTTTATTTTATTTTTCACCTCCATTGATTTATTTTAATAAGAAATTACATTTGAAAATGCACAGGTCGATATACTTACACACTTACGAAGAAACACGCCTTGGTAACTGCATACCCGTTCAACATTTACCAATGTCAGATGCGCATATCTAAAAAGTCGAATTTTTTTATTTTTTTTTACTAATGGTGACGAAGCATCAACTACTGTACATTTTAGTAATCCCACTATCCGCGCCATTGTACAATAACAGGTACATGTCTGCCTCTGATCTGAAGCTTCGCATCGATCAATTTATTCCATATGTATCTAGCGGCAACCTAGGTAATGTCTGCCTCGTCGGCTAGGTGTGCCGGTGAACCACCCAGGCCTTATGCTGAAGGACGTTGGCCGTGCATTTCATTGTGGTTTATGCGTGTGTGAGTAAGTTTGATGCTTTGCTTGGTTGAGTGTATTTCACGTGTTTTTACGACAGTCAGTAACATTGTGTATTATGAGCATAGAAAAACACCAAGATTTTCCCACACTGCATCTTAAACATTAAGGTTCACTTGCTGACCACGTCCATCTCCTCGAAGAATGACACTTCCCGTATCTCGCAGCCGCTGAATGCACTATAGGATTGTATTTGCACATGGGGGGATTCTCGGTACACCCTAGTTGCTGCGAGCGCATTTTCTCCGGCTGCACCATACACTAACACTTTATTGACACGTTCGGAAATAGTAAATGCATTGTTTTCTCGGTTCATTGCAAAACTAGTTTGTGCACAAACTTAAAAATTAAGCAAAGTAAGAAATGTCGTTTTTAATGTAATCCGCACGCTATTCTTATTTTTTTATTTCTTTATAAAAATTACACTGTCCTATCGTGGAATTACAAAATAAAAACTTGTCTGGAATCTTTCACCTTTTAACACTGATGGGTCGATGGACGATGCTTAATATTTAATAATTAAGTGAATAATGAATTCAATACAAATACAAAATCAGTAGACTGCACAAATTTTTTGACAATGTAACCTAACCGTCTTTTAGTATTACTAGTATTAGAATATAACCACTTAAATTATAAGGTTGCATCTTAGGTCACATAAAAACATTTCCAATGTTTTTAATAAATAACACAGGGTCAGCCTTCATTTTCGTTGAATAAATGAACTTTAATTTACAAAAAACAAAAACAATAAAAAGATAGGACTTTTTTGTATAAGACTTTACTATTACAAATATCAGGAAGCTGTAGTTTAATTTTTCTAGATTATACACGCCATACCCTGTATAGTTAAATTATGTGAATTAAACAAAATAAATTTGACATAATATTTAATAAATCACAATATATTTTTATATAAAAATAACAAAAATATCATGTTGAAGGCAAATGTAACAATTACAACAAATGTATACACTACAATCTTCATTATTGCACAACTATTATTATCACTACTAAGTAGTGTGAGAATAATGAAAAATGTTGGCTTAAGTATATTCTTTTTATAACAATAAAGTACCAACTAGTAATAAACACTTACATTTTAATAGAGTTTTAAAATAAACATTACCTACCTATATTACAAAAATAAGCTTAAACAGAAAATTGTATTATATATATGAAAAAATGTATATGAAGCGCATGCTTCTTAGGCCAATGGAACGTTATTTTTGAAAAAGAACAGTCTTAAAATTGTATAAATGCATATGTAAACAAAATACAAAAATACAAGATTTGCAATTACTAGCATAAACAGTAGGTATGTGATGTAAAAAAATACAGTTACCTTCTTTATCTGTGACCACTGCATTATAAACGTTCAACACTATCAGGTATTTCCTTACTCAGTCAGTTACCCGACTGTTATCACAACACTACATTTTTTACAATTTTGTGTAAAAAATTTTTGCTATGATCAATTTTCCAGTTTTTCATTATGAAGGCTTTAAACCACCAAAGAACCACAGATACAAGGAGGCTACTATACACAATTGGATAGATAATAATAATGGTAACTCTAACAACATCAAACAAATATTCACTATAGATGAAGTAATACATTATTATACATGAGAATAATCCTCAAGTAAAGATTCTCCATAGTGGATAACAATATAATCGTGGTAGTACATCATAATACATAAAGGCTGCCCTATTATTATTGATGACCAGACAACTAAATTACCAAATCTTGGTCCATACCTCCGTTCCACATATCTTGATATATGGGAGAGTGGAATTTGGCCCATCATTCCCATGAAGGCCCATATTTTATAGGTTTTTAAAGGAACGCTGACCTAAAAGTATAGTCAAATTTACAATTCAAGTGTAACTGTGACGTTATGATAAACTTTCACAGTCGATTCCTTTTATCAAAACAAACAAAAAAAAAGACAAGAATACCGTTTTTTCCTAAACTGTTTCTTAAAATCTTTGAAAGATTGGAAATAAAACAGTTTCTGATCAATTTGGTACAATATAATTCCCTTATAGTAAGTACCTTCAGGAAAATTTCAACTGGAAGTGGCATCGAAATTAGGTAAAAATAAGTTATTTGAAGTTAAGAGAATCTTCTTTTATACAGGGTGTCCCAGACATTTTTTCTTAATGGAAGTTAGGTCAGATCGTCTTCTTTCGAGTCAAAGAATGTTGCAGTACCTCTTTGATCATGTGCTTATGGGACACCCTGTATATTTAGATAAACCTTTCTAATCAAAACTTTTATCTCTTGAGTTTTTTCTAGTCTGAAAATCAATGCAATGTGAAATGCTCATCAATAGTAGATTATAGATTTTTTCCATGTTCAAATTTTTCAACTATTAGAGGTACCTATGTTAACCATGAACAGATTTAATCTATTTGTCTTGAGTACTTTTCATTCACATAAATAAGAATTTATGCAAAACTATTGTGTTCTGATTTTCCCTGATATTACACTGCTAGAAATGCCAAACTTTGTCATAGTTCTTGTAGGTATTTTTTATGAATTATTTTAAGATCTTTTTAGTAAGTTTAATAGTGGAATAATAGTATAAAAGCATAAATATACACTGGTTTCATGGCAATCTTGACCTTATCCATTGTCAGTAAAAACTATCAAAGAAAATGTAACATATGTATACAGGGTGGTCCGAATTTTATGCAGAAAACTACAAAGGCATATAAATCTCTTTAAAATAGTAGGTTTTTGCCTTATAAACATAGATCTGGAACGGCTTTGTTTTAGAGATACAGGGTGTTGAAGTTGTAAAGAAAATTGATTTTTTGTTTATATCTTCGGAATCTATTAACCGATCTCGATAAAATTTGATACAGATAATGTATGATAGTAGGTCTTGCCTTCTCTAAAATATGAGATCTAAAGGTTCGACCAGTGGTGTACAACTGAAAAAGGTCATCTCCTTTTGTATAAAAAAAAACTATGTCACTGCATTTTTTACAAGTTATTCTAACGGATTTATATTCTAATGCAAAAAATATGTAAAAAGGGTAACTTAAATTTTTTTCCTAAGATTCGCCGTTTTCAAGTTATTCATACCAATCCCCTTGTGGCAGACACTTTTAACCATAATGTTACAAGAATATTTATGTTTATATTTAAAAGTAAAAACAAATAAGAACAAATATATATTTATCATTTCTTAAATGAATCAAAATAATGGTTTTTAAAGTTTTGCCAGTGAATAGGAAAAACCCCCAAAATTGTGGAAATCATTAATCAAAAAATCCAAATCAAAAGCTGTTTATAATTTAAATAATAATAAATAATATATCCACATCATTTCTGAAATCTAGTCTTTTATTACTTTTCTTATGCAGTGCGTCCCAGAAGTAACGCAAAAAATTCGTATTTTATTTTGTGTTGCGTTTTCACAAAACCGCTAACACACATCAATTAGTAAATAAGAATTGTCGGTTTGTCACGTTGCTTAAAACTTTTTTGCGCTATTTTTCATAAACCTATGACATCATCGGCATTTTTTTAAATGGAACTACCTAATTTTTTAAACAAAAAGGGATAGCTCTTTTGAAGGGAAATGCGTCGATATAGGGTTTGGTCTACTTTTCTTTAACAGATGCGAAAAAAAGCCAACGATTGGAATGAACATGGTTTGAAATAACAACAAAAGTAGGTATCACAAACTGATGCGAGAACAGTGCCACAACAAAAATGTATTTTGGTTGATTGTAGGTACATGGTTTTAAGTAGATTGGGTAGGTTCACACAATCACAGCGGCTAGGCATTGTTTTGAAGACGACAGTTAGCGAAGGCAATAGTGCCTCATATCATTGTGACAGTTACAAATACCATAACTTTGCATTACGATGGTGTTGCGTTTAAGTGAGAAACAAAGAATTGAAATCCTAATTATGGTTGGATACGGAGATAGGATTCGTAGTTATCAATGCCAAGTATCCAGAACAACCAATACCTACGTCTTCAGTATGCAGATTTAGTGCTAATTTGAAGACACTGGACATGTTAGTGATCTGTCTAGATCCGGAAGGCAAAATGTTATGTTTAGCTGTCACTGAAGATCCACACACTGCCGTTCGTCCTATCGCCGAAAACGCCGACATATTCAACCAAAACACAAAACATTACAAATTCCCATTTTTTGTTGTGGCACTGTTCTCGCATCAGTTTGTGATACCTACTTTTGTTGTTATTTTAAGCCATGTCCATTCCAATCGTTGGCTTTATTTTTGCACCTGTCAAAGTAAGGTAGGCCAAACCCTATATCGCCGCATTTCCCTTCAAAAGAGCTATCCTTTTTTGTTTAAAAAATTAGGTAACTCCATTTAAAAAAAATGCCGATGACGTCATAGGTTTATAAAACATAGCACAAAAAAAGTTTAAGCAATGTGATAAAAAGACAATTCCTATTTACTAATCAATGTGTTTTAGCGGTTTTGTGAAAACGCAACACAAAATAAAATATGAATTTTTTGCGTTACTTTTAGGACGCACTGTACAAGTTAAATTAATGAACGTTAAAAAAATTTAAATCTTACCATGTACTCATGAAAAAAGGCACTAATGAAAAAAACAGTAACACCAGCCGAATATTTACTGTAACCCATCTCTACCATAGGTAAGTAGAGGTGTCTTAAAGCCCATCTGTGAACCGGCAGATTCCAATTGCGCCAAAATACATCTATGTTATTTGCATTCCACCAATCATTGTAAAAACTTCTGTCGGCAAAGTGTAGAATTTCTCCTAATAAGTTAAGCCAAGAATGGAACATAATATAAAACATACATAACCAGGCCAAATGATTAGGTATCTAGAAATAAAATAAATAATCCTCAAAGTATGAATATTATTATAAATCTCAGATATTTATTTATTTACTACCAAATATCCAACTGATGCAGGTCGGAAACCATTTAAAGTAAATGTGCAATTAATATAACAAAAATGAACTGCATATTTATTGTAAAAAAAAAATTATTGTAAAATTTAAAAAAATATGAAAATTTAAAAAACTAAACTGTTTAATCATGTGAAATATTTTTTACTTACAGCTAATTTTAATAATCTCTCAGAAGCCTTCATAAAATCCATATTACTAAATGGAATAAGCGAATTCTTAACAGAAGGTATCATCCACTGTTGAATTACACAAAGAATTATTTGCATACCAGCCAACACTTCAAAAATTCGTTTTACTAAAAACCTCTTGCGTATGCGGTCAGTTCTAGGAAAATTTAATTCGTAGCATAATGTTGGAGCACATAAGAAATAATAAAGGTCCCTTAGTGTCAAATTGTCAGGGTACTGAACATAACTTTCCTTTGATTTATGTGCATCTTCATTTGTGTTTTTCAAATCATTGCTGTTTTTTATGCCTGAAAAATATTGATTTTGAAATGAGGTCAGTAATTTTTATGTGTATTATCAAAATTCATCGTTGGAAATCAATTTATTTTGTAGTTTTTTATTTATTTAAAAATTATAGCAGACAAAATAAACTTTGACCTCCCTTTTATTGATTTTTTTTGTTTCACTTAATCAAAATGTGAAAAAGAAATAATCTGAGCATGACTATTTCAAAATTCCAGTTCACACAGTAATGGATTTTAAATTGAAATGTATATTTTTCTTCAACAAAAATAGATTATCAAAAAATAATTACTCTAATTGAAAAATGTTTGGTTTAGACCATACTCTTTTAGATATATTTCATCAATCTTTATATCACTGAAATCATAAGAAAGCATTATTTCTATTTAAAAAAGAATAGCACCAACACAATAAAAATACCTACAATTTCAATTTTGAATCATTTGATAAAAAATGATGGCAAAGGATTTACAATAATTGTTCAAAATTTCTAGGGTGTAACCAACTAGAAGTAATAAAAGAGGTCATAAAATTAGGCATTTAGGAAATTTTATGATTTTTTCACAATTACATGGTTATTTTATTTATTCTTTATCATATAAAAATGAAATTACATAATCCAATAATTCAAAACATATACTTACTTTGGTTTAGATTGCTATATGATAAGGATTGTCTCCTCAAGCTGCCTTTCTGATTCAGACGAGCAACTCTGCACCACATGTTTACTTGAACGTAAGACCATAATTTTAGAAATAGAAGGCTATATAAAGTGGTAACACATGAGGCACCCACTAAAATATTGAAGAAAAAATGTATTAAGTTACAAAACTGGTTTTTGTTTGTAAGTGTGGTATAGTCAACACCACTGAAAATATATGTTTCATAGTCGCTAAAATGTGTTTGAAAACATTAAAATATTTCTTGATAACAGAGAAGCTACAGTACTACTATACATCTCAAATGTATTGATCCCCCACTTTAAATGTGAATTAAAACAAAAAAGAGCGAAAAATTATTAAAGAAATTTCACTAATAAATTGAACGTGCTTAATACCCTGCGGAAGTGCCAATATCATGTTTGAAACTTTTCAAATTAAAACTCATTACATCAAAAAAATTTACTTTATTAAGCCTGTTTACAGCATGAAGAAGCGTTTTCCTAGTCCAACTATAAGAATATTTTCTTATACAGGGTGGGCCACCAGTAACGCCTCGGTCGCTAGTGACCAAACGGCAAATGTTACAGAAATCTGTTTAGGTAGGTATGTGTAGGTTGATTACGCCTACATTTTAAAAATATTTTTAGATATACAGGGTGTCCAGGAAAAGCGTACCATATCAAAGTTATGTTTTTTTAAATGGAACACCCTGTATTTTACTGCATTTTTGAAAGCACCGTAAAAAAATAGGTGAACTTTATTAAAGGTTCAGCATACCTAGGACTTATAGTTTGTGAAATATTTCAATTTTAGTGAAAATGCAAGCATAGCGTAGATACTTAATATTAGCAATAAAAAAATAATTTTAAGGAAGCAACTTTGGAGGGTCTATTTTAGATGCTTGAAGTTATAAATTGTTATATTTGTCGTCACTTAGTATTATATAGGGTATTCAAAAAACTGCTGAATACTTCTCTCAACTTTAAACAGCAATAACTTGGTTATTTTAAATGGAACACCCAGTATATTTTTACTTTGGGTGTTGGGAAATTTAAAACTCTTTCAAACTGTGTATAGGTTCCCTATAGCTATCTCTAACGGTATTGGAGATATTTGTGCTGTTTCGTTTTTATCGATTTTTTTTATAAGATGTATCCACGTGTCTTTATCGAGGTCTTTACTGAATTGGTTTGGGTTCTTTTTGATGACGTCTCTTTATATATATTGAGAAAAATGAGGATGCAATTAGATGGCGCACCTGCAAATTTTTCATATTCAGTGAGAAATTATTTATATCGAGAATTTAGTAATAAATGGATAAGTAGGAATGGTGCATGTCAGTGGCCACTTAGGTGTCCAGACCTCACCGTAATAGACTTCTTTGTTGCGAGCTATATAAAAAATCTTGTATACATTGTTCCACCTATTACTTGCGATGATATTGGAGGGATGGATTAGAGATGCATTTGCGTGAAAATATCATTTGAAGATAGAATAAGATGCTGTATTCAGGAGAATGGTTATCAATTCGAACATCAATTAAAATTTTTCTTTATTTTTTTCTAAAAGTAAAAGTTCCTTTTATCTTTATCATGAAAATAATCAAAAAAGTTTTCTAATAAAAATATTATTTTATAAGCCGAATAATTATAAAAAGTTATTAATTTTGTATAAATATGTTTGTAGTAACTAAATTATTTATGAACATGAAAAATATTTATTAAAGAAAATTTTACTTTTAGAAGAAACAAAGAAAGATTTTAATAGATGTTCGAATTGATAACCATTCTTTTGAATACAGCATTTTATTTTATCTTCAAATGGTATTCTCACATTCCTTAGAATATTTGGGGTGATTGTGGCAAATGCATATCTAATCCTTTCCTTCATATCATCGCAAGTAGTAGGTGGAACACTGTGTACAAGATATATTTTTATACAGCCCGAAACAAAGAAGTCCATTACGAGAGGTTTGGACACCTGTGGTAGCCACTGACATGGACCATTCTTACCTACTCATTTATTACTTAATTATCGATTTCTATAATTTCTCACTGAATATGAAAAATGTGCAGGTGCGCCATCTATTTGCATTCACAATTTTCTCCTTATATTTAAAGAGACGTCATCAAGAAGAACCCAAACCAATTCAGTAAAGACCTCGATAGACACGTGGACACATCCTACAAAAAATATCGATGAAAAACAAAACGGCACAAATATCTCCAATACCGTTAGAGATAGGTATAGGGAACCTATACACAGTTTGAAAGAGTTTTAAGTTTCCCAACTCCCAAAGTAAAAATATACTGGGTGTTCCATTTAAAATAACCAAGTTATTGCTGTTTAAAGTTAAGAGAAGTATTCAGCAGTTTTTTGGACACCCTGTAATATACTAAGTGACGACAAATATATTAATTTATAACTTCAAGCATCTAAAATAGACCCTCCAAAGCTGCTTCCTTAAAATTATTTTTTTATTGCTAATATTAAGTTTCTACGCTATGCTTGCATTTTCACTAAAATTGAAATATTTCACAAACTATAAGTCCTAGGTATGCTGAACCTTTAATAAAGTTCACCTATTTTTTTACGGTGCTTTCAAAAATGCAGTAAAATACAGGGTGTTCCATTTAAAAAAACATAACTTTGATATGGTACGCTTTTCCTGGACAAACTGTTACGGATTAGGAGTGGAGTGGATTGGGCGTGAATTCAGAATTTTTAAGAGTTCACAGAGCAAATTATAAACGAACGGTTTCAGAATCTGGAATCTGACGTTTGACAAGAGAAAAAAAAAGGTTAGATGTTTTTTGTTCAAAAATAAAATGAATTTTCCCTTTGCAATTGTGAATTATGTTCGTGAAATATTCGATGATTCTTCCGAGGAAGAGGAAATCATTGAAAAAGTTGACCGATATGCAGAATATACGGTACCACATTAATTAAATGATGTATATTTGTTGTAGCAAAGTACATAACATATACAGTATAGTAAAGTTTACAGAAATAGTATCACAGACCAATAACAGAGAAATAGTATTCTGTAAACTTTGGTTTTAGGTTAGATTACCTTTTTTACTCCGTATAAATACTACCTCGAAGAGGTGGGGTATATAGAGTGAGTTCTGAGTGTTCCTCTCCAATGTAAACGAACGGTAAAAAAATTGCTCTAGTCACTCTAATTGTAATAAACGAATGGGTTCGAGTGAAAAGAGTTAGTGGAGTTGGATAGCCGAACGCGCCTCCTGTATATCTCAAAATATTTTTAAAATGTAGCCGTAATCAACCTACATATACCCACCTAAACAGGTTTCTGTAACATTTGCCGTTTGGTCACTAGCAACCGAGGCGTTACTGGTGGCCCACCCTGTATAAATATTTACTTTTATAACTGAACTGAATGTGTGTGTAAATGTGAAAAAATGTGTTCATAATAGTTTTCCTGTGCTTCTTAAAAACAATTTTCAAAACATCACATGCTTTTATTCTCTTAAAAGATTACTATATTTTTTGAGCATGTTACCAGTCTTTTATTTTATTTTAGCGCCCTATATCTCAAACGGAGGGTTCAAAAGGCAAATATTTATATGAGAAAATAATTCATTTTTGACATGTTGATGTATACAAATAATTTTAAATTTATCTAAATGTATAATCTATTGTCTATCTTCCAAAATGGTTAAAGTTATGCAAAAAAATCAAACGATAGTTTTCATTCAAAATAAAATTTGCATAACATAAATGACAAAAAATATTTGTTTTTCCAGTGCTGTGCCATAATTTTTTAGTTAAGCATATCCACATATATGTATACCACTGCACTGGTTTGAGCTGAGTATTAATTTTTTCAAGTTGAATACCATTTTATCCATGTATTCACACAAAGTTTCGTTCATTGAATTAGCGGATATTTAGAGATATATCATGTATTAGGTATTTATTATTCATAAAATTTACTAGTATTTTAAAAATATTTGCACGAAGTTTGAGATGCAAGTAGAAATATATATCCACTTTAGATCCTAAATACTTTTATCATAAGACCAAGAGTTTTCTTATAGAAAAATAATGTTTACTTCTTTTTAATTTCATAAAATTAACTTTGTTAAATTTTAATTTTATTGATGAATTTTATTTTTCAAACTTCTTGATGCTGTAACTATGACAAATTAACATTTTAAGAAAAATAAAAAACAACTATTTGTGTTTAAAGACTAATTATAATAAATATACAGGCTGTTACAAATTCGCTTCTCACTACAGGGATCTCGAAAACGGTAAGAGATACAGACTAGCTTAAATGGAGGCAAAGTTGCGTAATCAGAGGACCAACATTATGCCTCTAATAAATTAAGGCTAATATGATTAGTCGAAATATTTTAAAATAACAGAAATTTTCGAAATCCGTTTTTGTTTCAGTTCAGCCTTGTTCGAGGTGATATTGAAAAAAAGAACACTTTCTCATAGCAACTTTTTGCCCTCTATCGATTGGCATAATCAATTTTTATCTGTAACGTTTCGTCTCTCCAAGACCATAATCAACTTCATTTTTTTAAATACGACCCTAGAAATTTTATTACATTTTTTGCGAACCTTCATTAACCCCAATACTGTACTGCCTCAGCCCGAACCAGATTCAGATGTTTTGTCTCAAAAAATTCATATTCAGTGTATTCGTTTCATATAAATTTTTTATTTAGATTTCTTTGTTTATTGAATTATCGTACACTGTAAGTGTCCTTAGATCCTATGAAATCCACCTAGCTATTACCACCACACATTAAAATAAAACATTATTAGTTTTATTCCCGTGTCCATAGTTATTTCTAGCTTCTCGAGTGCACAAAATTCAAACAAATTCCGATCTATTTTTTTCAGAATATTCATACAATGACATGCGCTCTTTCACATTTGCGGTTACAGATATAATAAATTCCGATAATATTACACTGACCTTGTCAAAACAAAAATGTTTTTGAAAATTTACAGAAATTTTTTAAAGAATAATATTCAGTTGGCGTTTTGATTGTTCATATGCATTTTTAAGAATTAATTTGTCATAATATAATTAAAATTGTAATAATGTTTTAATTTTGACGCAACAACTTATTGAGTTATGTATGGCCAAGTGATGGTAATAGTTAATAATAATAAATGTTTTATTGTAACATGTGGTGGTAATAGTTTAAATAACTAGATGGATTTCATAGGGTCTAACGACATTTACAAATAAAAAAAAATTAGATAAATTTGGAACAAATACACTGAAGATGAATTTTTCGAGACAAAACGTCTGTATCTGGTTCGGGCAGAGATAGTACAGTATTGGGGATCACGAAGGCTTGCAAAAAATGTAATAAAATTTCTAGGGTCGTATTTAAAAAAATGAAGTTGATGATGGTCCTGGAGAGACAAAACGTTACATATAAAAATTGATTATGCATTTCAATATCACCTCAAACAAGGCTGAAATGAGACAAACAGATTTCCAAAATGTCGGTTTTATCATGTTAGCTTTAAATTTTTGGAAGCATAATGTTGGTCCCCTGATTACGCAACTTTGCCCCTATTTAAGCTACTTCGTACCTCTTACCGTTTCCGAGATCCCTGTAGTGAGAAGCAAATTTGTAACAAGGAACATATTCCCACGAAAACACCTGCACGTAAATGTTTTTCGCTGTAGTTTAACACAGAAATAATAAACTTCTTAAAAATCAAAAACCGAGCTTGGAAAATTTACAAAAAATCAAAACTGCAGGTTGATTAGGATCATTTTAAAAGTCTTTGAACACAGTTTAAATGTTCTGTAAAAATTTCTTATAATAATTATATTCAGGAGGCTGAAAGTTCCATACAAAATGATACCAAAAAATTTTGGAATTTCATTAATTCATAGCAAAACTCTACCTGTATATCATCCTGCATGAATTATGATAATTCCAAACTTGAAAATCCCCAGTACATTGTGAACGCTTTTGCCCACTATTTTAGTAAATCCTTTATTACATCCTCGAATTATGAACCCGATCTTATACATCACATTAATAATAACGCTATTCCCGCTATTACATCTTTTACTGAAGACAGTATTAGAAAATCGATAAGAAAGATTAAAGCAAATACGACAACCGGACCAGATAATGTGCCTGCGTTTATTATAAGAGACTGTGCTACCATCTTTTGTAAACCACTTTTAAAAATATTCAACCTCATTCTTAAGCACAATACCTTTCCTGACTTATGGAAGCAATCCTGAGTATGACCTGTTTTTAAGAAAGGAAATAAGATTGATGTTGAGAATTACCGACCTGCTGCCATTTTATGCAACTTCTCTAAAATATTTGAAATATTAATTCATGAACACCTTTCCTTTTACACAAAAAAAACTGATAGATAATTCCCAAACAGCATGGATTCATGAAGGGCAGATCCACAGTGTCAAACCTTGTATGTAGCACCCAGTTTATTGCCGAAACGCTGGATAGGAGGGGTCAGGTGGACGTCATTTATACTGACTTCTCTAAGGCATTTGACAGGCTTGATTACGGTAAACTGTCGTGTAAGCTCGAAGCTTGCGGTGTCAGTAGATCCTCTCCGGTTGCTAAAATCATATATTTCCCACCGTGTTCAGTTTGTATGGTACCGTGGTCACAGCTCTGTATTTTTTAATCAAACATTTGGTGTGCCGCAAGGCTCCATACTTGGACCTTTGCTTTTTATTTTGTATATTAATGAATGATATTGCCCAAGATCTAAATGTTCACTTCTTGTTGTACGCTGATGACCTCAAGCTCTATGTAGATATTAACTCCGAATCCGTTTGTTTGCAACTACAGCATGACTTGAATCTGCTTAATGTATGGTGTAATTGTAATCGACTGGCCTTGAATGCTTCTAAATGTAATGTTATGTCATTTGTTTGTAAAAATAGTAAAATTTGTTTTAATTATACTTTAAATAATCAGATACTTAATCGGCCTGAATTTGTTAAAGATTTCGGCATCATTTTTGACGTCAAATTAACATTCAATAAACATATGGAAGAATGCATAGCTGGAGCGTATAATAATCTGGGGTTCATACTACTTAACAGTAGAGATTTTAAAAACATATCTACATTACGAGTATTATTTAATAGCTTTGTTAGGCCTAAATTGGAGTACGGCTCTGTAATTTGGTCTCCAAGTTATAATTGCCATATAACTGTGTTAGAGAAAGTACAGCGAAGGTTCCTTAAATCCGCAAGTTTCATATTGGATGGAATTTATCACAAGACTTATTATTGAAACGATTTGAGATGAGCAGTCTAATTAGGAGGATTATGAATTCTATAAGTTTCCTATTCAAGCTTGTTAACAATGGTATGGATTGCATTATGCTTACCTCTGTTAGCTACAGAGTTCCTAGAGCCAATACTAGATCTAATAATTTATTTGTTGTTCCCTACTCCCGTACTAATATTTTGCAGTGGTCTCCCTTGTATTTGATGCTAAGAAATTACTGTAACATTGAAGAACGGCTGGATATATTTAACTGTACGCTTGTGGATATAAAGCGTGCTTACACATTTTAAGATTTGTATTTTATTCTTATATTGTTTTGCTGTTGTTTTTTAACTACTTTTGATGTTCTATTCCGTTTTTATTGTCTTTCTTTATACCATTTTTCTGTTTTATTGTAATTATGCTACTTTTATGTTACATATTTTCTGTTTTTATTCATCCTGTAAAAGGGTTCTCATTAAATTAAATTAAATAAATAAACAGCCTGTATATCAGGGTTGGAAACCCCTAGTTTAATTTATTATTTTGCAAATTTTTCCTCAATGTAGTTTCTAGAAAACATTTCCTACAAATGGTGTAAAATACTTTAATTTTCATAAGGTGCCACTGGATGTAGTGCTGTGTCACTGAGAAGTCTAGAAATGTCTATGAAGACAAAATTTCAAACAACTAGATTTTCATCTAGTAAGATAATTATGCTTATTATAAATTTAATGAAACCACTTAAATTTACAGGAAATAATGACTTAGAAATCTCGCTTAGAATGTGTTTTTCTAAATCTCTAGATATTTTTAAAACAACAATAACATTGACTTTTCTGTGCAATGTTTTGCTTCACACCCCAGAGGCTTTTACTGTCTTTTTTTCAGTGACATTTTTCTTGTATATTTCGTTTATTTTTTAATTTATGCATTGCAGGGAAATACGACATTTTGACACTTTTTCCAGTAAATAAACACATAATTGTATTTCTTTTTGCAAAAAATGGCAGCACTGAAGAAAGGTATATACCTTATAACTCAGTAAAATTTCAAGTAATACTGAGTGTTAGTTTTAGAGAAATAAATTATTTATTCCCAAATACTGTTACCTATATCGAAAATAATGTAAAAATTAGATACCTACATTTTTATTTTACTTTTTAATATTTCTAAAAGTAAAAATTTTATTTTCTTCACTTCAGTTTACCATATAAACAGCTCAAGTAGATGACACAATATATATGGTTGAATTTTCACATTTATTTTTTCCTAAGCATACAAAACAAGGGAGAAGTACATTTGAAATGGGAATGCCTTTTTAAATGTTTGTAAAATAACACTCCTAATCAACTTGTAATCAAATTAGAATGCCAAATAACAAGAGAATGTATTTAGTGTAATTAACAATATAGGGATATTTTTTCTATTAACCAATCCCCATGGCCAGGGAAAATAATAATATAATAGCCATAAATCAGCTGTATTTAAAAAAAAGTGTACTACCTCTGCAAGTATGATAGAAGAAACTTGTCTTGAAGCACAGAGATATTATTTTAGTAAGGTGTAACCTTTTGCCTTAAGCCTGTGAATAAATCTTTACTTATATTTATTTGCCACAATCATTTTTCTAGGCAACCAGTTTGCTAATGTTACAAAAATTTGTGAAAACATTTTTTAAGAGAATCATATTTTTCATGGGATTTTTAGGTGCCTTCTTGCCTCTTCTAAACTCGGTTCAAACATACAAGCTGTTACAAATTCGCTTCTCACTACAGGGTCTCGGAAACGGTAAGAGGTATGAAGCAGTTTAAATGGGGGCAAAGTTGCATAATCAGGACACCAACATTTATGCCTCTAAAAAATCAAGACTAATGATTCGTGATGAACAGTTTTTAAAATATTAGAAAAAAAACCGAAATTTTGGAAATTCGTTTTTGTAACATTTCAGCCTTGTTTGAGGTGATATTTGCCCTCTATCAAATACCATAATCAATTTTTAAATGTAACGTTTCATCTCTCCAGGACATTATTACAATTTTAATTTCATCATGACAAATTAATTCTTAAAAAAGCATATGAACAACCAAAACTCCAAATGAATATTTTGAAAAATTACAATAAATGTTCAAAAACGTTTCCGTTTTGGCAAATGTTGGAAATGAACATAAGTTTAATATAATCGGAATTTATTACACCTGTAACCGCAACTGTGAAAGAGCATGTCAGATGTATTCGTATATATATCCTGAAAAAAAATTAGATCGAAATTTGTTTGAATTTTGAGCACTTGAGAACCCTTGAAATAACTATGAGCATGGGATGCAACCTTGCCCCAATTTAAGCTACTTCGTATCTCTTACCGTTTCCGAGATCCCTGTAGTGAGAAGCGAATTTGTAACAGCCTGTATATGTTGTGTAGGAACCTTCTTAGTTACAATGCACAATGATAATTTTAAAAAATCTACTGTAAAATATAAATTACCTAAACTAAATCCATCTTTAATATGTATTATCACCATGGGTAGTAGAATCAATACCAATAAATTTATTATATGTATTAACATTCCTGGAGCAGTTGGTATTATTTCCTAAAAAATAGAAGTATTTATTGTACAACTACTACCACTAGTACCTAACATAATTATTTCTATAAATGAGTACAGTTGACGCCACCCAAATGTGAACGCATTTTGGTAGTTATGGAAATTTCATCTGGATTTTATCGTAGTAATTCAGAAGTTTTTTAGTGGCGTAACACAGAAAGGGTATTCTTATGGATAAATTCGACCAAGGCATTGTCTTCCGCGTCACTGGAAACCTTCCGGTCACCTTGCCTGATAGATCTTTGTAATTATTGTTCTCGCCAGCATTGTTTAATATAAAATATACAACTCTTACTGACATTTAAATCAGCAGCCACTTCACTCAAAGACCAATTATCTTCTAATTTAGCTATAGCCTTTGCTCTATGCGCTTCAGTTAAATGCTCAGGCATATATCACGTTACTTGTTTACATTTAATTACATTTGCTCTAAATGACATATATGTATATTTGACAACTATTGAATTTTACGACTATGATTTGAAGTTTAAATTACACGGTACAATATTGCCGGTCACATTTGGGTGGCGCCGACTGTACGTAATATAAGACCAGACAGTAAACGGTCAATAACAATTCAACAAAAAATATATATAATTATATATGCACAGGAACACATTAGGTATTTTTGTAAGTAAACAAAATAACTATTTAATATTAATGTTGTTTAATTGTTCTTACTACCAATAAGAGCTCTTGTGAACAGAGTAAAAGGAGTTCGATGGAATTTCAGGGTATCTCAGAAACTACTGAAAAACTAAAAAGCTGACATTCCGAGTCTTGATTTTCACGACAAATTCAACTATCTAATTAGATATTTAATATCTATAGTACGATCGTATTTGATGTAAAGTAGAGCAAAAAGTTGTCGGTCTTATATCAAAGAAAAATCGTGTCATCATTTTTAGGAGGCGTAAGATGAACCATTTTAAATTTAAATTGAAATTGACTGTTAATTCTGAAATACCGCTGCATACGCACTGTGTTCTGGTAGTAGCTGTAGTCGCCCAGGTGCATCGAGTGTACGAAGTGGTTGGTTATATGTCAAATACTAACCTGGCGAGCTTAATATTAAATCAGAGAGCACCTCCAAAAAACAAGTAAACAACAGTGGCGCGTATAGAGGTAAAATGTAGTACATATGTGAATTTTAAAAAACAAATTGGATTTATAATAAATTACATTTAAAATAAATAGTTTACGAGAATAAAGGAATTTTTGTAGGAACAAGGGTGCCAGACGTGAACTGATCCCTTCGTCTCTTCATAATGTATAAAGAAATTATTCAATTTCTAAAACCCCTAAAAGCATATAGCACTGGATCCCTTGACAGCCAATGATTTATTACTTTACATCGACTATGATCCTACTGTACATTCGATTTTAAGTTATTCTTGAACTTTTCCAAATAGAATTGACTGATTAAATTAGTTTTGCATGGATGTTTTTGTGCTTTCCAATTAAATTATTAGGTACCTATAATAATTTACTTTTGTATGGGCCCCATAAATCCAAAAACTTTTAATCAGAAGTTCGGTTTTGTGTTAAAAGAATTTACAATTACTGAATATAACTACAAAATCAAGAGGAAAAATATTTCAACACAAAAAAAAATTAGAACAGCTATTTCTGTTAAAAAATAATAAATTAAATTTATTTACATAACATTTTTTATCATTGAAAAGTATAAAAAATTTTGTATTTTTCTATTATATATATGTATACATACACAGTGTGGACTGTTTTGGTGATGCATGTATTGGTATCTTGGGAACTATAAGAATTAGGAAATTGGTTAGAAGGGGACAATTTTAGACAGTTTTTGGCTCTTGCAGACCGATCCTAGCTCTTCAGGCATTTGAGTTATTTCATAAAACAGTAAATGTGGCATTTTCGAAAATCGTATATAACTTTTTTTATTTAGAGGAATTTTTAAAATTTGAAAACAGCTAGTTTTTTCGAGAAATTTCACTGTATATTCAGATTTTCATTTCGACGCTTGCGAGAAATTATCAACTTTCATTTTTCTTATAGGCGCCATATTGAATTTTGAGCTGAGTAAATAGAGCATTTTTTTAGTTTTTCAATGATATAATCTAAGTAAGAGAAGATTACAAAAACAACCTCAAAAATCAACATTTTCCATAAATTTGGCAACACCGCATAATTTTTCGAAATTATTATAGCAGTCTCAAATTTTTGTAAAAGCTTTTCATTAGTGTCATGGTGTTGAGTGAAAAAATGATAGTAATGGCCATGTGTTTATGAAGAAAAACCCCATAGTAGTCCATAAATTTCATTGATAATAATATTTCCATTTGTTTCTACATCCAATTGCAACTCATTTTGAATGATAATTATATAAAATTTAAGGGGTTGTTTTCCTTTCATTCAAATTTTATTGGTACAATAATATACATGGCTCAATATAAATAGCTTTTTATAAAGAACTTATAAATGTAGCCAAAAGTATCTTTATTTTTGTTACTGAAATATTGTATTTATAGTCGCAGAGGGATTATTCACTTGGGGAATATAGTGTACACTCCAAAGGAAATATGTGAAATTACAAGGAATATCAAAAGAAAATATGAGAATTTGGGGGAATAAGAGAAAATCTGGGAGTATTTGAGAAAAGCAAGCAAGTGGTACAGTGAAATATTCTTCCCTAAAACGAAAAGGTATACATTTACTGAGTGCTCTTGACTGCTGCTATTTGGAAAAACTGAGACGTTTTATCATTAAGCTCAGTATACCTTGCCTATATGTACTAACTAGATATGTACTACATATTTTCAATTTATTTACAAATTTGCAAAAATTTCCAAAATTTGCTATGATACTAAATCATTATTATAAAATAATTGTGCTTTGTTGCCTTAAACATCTAGACCATACAAATTTTGACTTTGGTGGAAATGTCATTTCTTCACACAAGATAATAAAAAATTTAACATATCTAGTATAATTTACATTAGAATGTTATGGTAAATAATAAACAAATGAAACAGATGCATTTTTAAATAATAAATGAAATATACGAAAATAAAAAAATTGAAACAATGCAATTACCATATCAAATGCATTTTAAAATGTATCGATTCCATTAAAATCTTAAATAAACAAAACTTACTACAGCTAGACCCTTTTCTGTAAGAAGGCACAACACTACTGGCACAACAGAATCTAAAATACAGAAATGAAAAAAATATTCTTAAATAGATATTAGAAACAGTATAAAAAAATTAATAAGAATATACAATTTTGAGATATGCTTCAAAACAAGTACTTACAAAGTATTAAAACAATCGACGGATGTTCTGATCCGGATTCATCTTGCCCTGTTAAAATATAGAACCATTGAATGGGATCTACCCTAATTCCATATCTACATGAAAAAGAAAGTTAATAAATAAACTAATATAGCTGTGATTAAATAGGAAAAAGGCTCCTTAAATAAAGGTACTTACTTTATAAAATTTTCTAAAAGCAGTCTAATTCCTCCTATTGATAACAAAAGGAAACCCCAATTAACAAACCCTGTAAAATTATCGAATCCTGAATTCCAAGAAAAAAGTGAATCCCTTGGTTTGTGGCATCTGAAATATAATTAGTAAAAGAATCAACGAAAGTTTATTTTTACAAAAATCAATATCGAACTATTTAGTACAGAACTTTCTGTTGAATATCAAGAATTGCTGTTTTTATAATCAACAAGCATTTACAATAACAATTTTATTATTACCTTTCTTGTTTGCCTTATTGTTTACAACAGAAAATAATGACGATTAGTTGTATGTTAAAAGAATAATATAATAATTCATATTTTAAAAAATCATAATTTGGTATGGAAATCAATAAAGGAATTAAATTCTGCATCTATCTGTATCAAACCTAACATAGGGTTCTATTTAAAAGAATTAAAATATCTGTGATTAAAAACTTTTTTCTATTTGATGTGTATTGGGTAAGTAATGCAAAAGATAGTTTTTTTCATATTTGAATAAATGGTGGTATATTATTTTTATACTTTCTGAGATATTTGACATTTTCCAAGATGCCGATATATTTTTTACGAACATTAAATAGCGTAAAAAATGTTTGTATTTTAAAAAAGCCTAAAATTGAATGAGTATCTTGAAAATTTAATAATATAGGGAGAGGTACTACTAGATAACAAGAAATAAAACCTTTACATGCATTTTTCTACATACTAATGCAGTCGATACTTTAGACCTAATTTACTCGAAAACTGTTCATTTTTGAGCTATGAAACAAGAGCCCATTTTTTGTTCAGAATTGATTGCAGATTTAGGAAAATATAATCAAATTACATAAAACTAGGATATGCAAAAGTTATGAAGACATCATAACCTTGAGGACAAGTTGGCCTAGGCCGCCCCTGGTGTCAGATCGGAATAAGCACCATGTAGTTTTAATGACCTTTAATAGATGTACACTTCACCCAAAAGTTACTTAAATCCCTGAAAGTTATTATTTTTTTCTAAACAACACTCTATAACTCAATGAGAGTGCATCGCAGAAAAATATTTTATAAGAATTTTAACCTTATTTTGGTCTGGTCTACCCCCTGGTAAATTTTTTTACGTTGACACTGGGACACCCTGTACAGGTATACAGGCTGTTACAAATTCGCTTCTCACAGGAATCTCGGAAATGGTAAGAGATACGAAGTAGCTTAAATTGGGGCAAAGTTGCGTAATCAGGGGACCAGAAAGCCATAGAATTTAGAAACTTTTTTGTCTCTTGATATTTGTTTCGTAAAACGCAATGTTTTTGAGGAAAATAGTGAATCACGATATGCATTCGATCACATTCTGACATTTTCTTGAAAACATTGCGTTTTACGAAAAAAGTATAAAGACAAATAAAGTTTTTAAATTTAATGGCTTTCTAGTGGACTGATAATTTTTAAGAAATTTAAATATGCGACCAAATTTTTTTGGCCCCAAAGACAAGGGGGCCCACGAAAAATTGTCTCAAGGGGGTTCCCCGCCAAAAAACGTAACAACATCAGATTCCACATGTCATAAAACCCCTGTGTACCAAATTTAGTGATTCTCGTACAACAGGGTTCTGATATAAAAAAAAGATTATTCTTTGGGGCGGACTTCTGGGGGCTGTAACTCCGAAAGAGGGGGCCACTTGGCAAAAATAAAAAATACGGGTCCCCTAAATTTGTCTTAAGAATTTTTGACCAAATTTTGTTGCATGAATTTCGGGACACCCTGTATGTAACGTTTCGTCTGTCCAGGACCATCACCAACTTCATTTTTTTAAATACGACCCTAGAAATTTTATTATATCCTTTGCAAGCCTTAATGACCCCCAATACTGTCCTGCCTCAGCCCGAACCAGATTCAGACGTTTTGTCTTGAAAAATTCATCTTCAGTGTATTAGTTCCAAAATGTAAGTGTCGTTAGACCCTGTGAAGTCCATCTAGTTATTTAAACTGTTACTACCACGCATTACAATAAAACATTATTAGAGTTTTAATCCCGTACCCATAATTATTTCTATGCTTCTCGAGTGCTCAAAATTCAAACAAATTCCGATATATTTTTTTTAGGATATTCATACAAATACATCTGATATGCTCTTTCACAATTGCAGTTACAGGTACAATAAATTCCGATATTCTTCATTTTCAATCTTTGCCAAAACGAAAGTGTTTTTGAACATTTACTGAAATGTTTTAAAGAATAATATTGATTCAGTTGGCGTTTTTGGTTGTTCATATGCATTTTTAAAAATTAATTTGTCATAATAAAATTAAAATTGTAATAATGTTTTAATTTTGACAACTTATCGAGTTATGTATGATCAAGTGATGGTAATAGTTAAAAATAATAAATGTCTTATTGTAACGTGTGGTGGTAATAGTTTAAATAACTAGATTGATTTCACAAGGTCTGACGACACTTACAGTGTACGATAATTCAATAAACAAAGAAATCTAAATAAAAAATTTAGATAAAGTTGGAACGAATACACTGAAGATGAATTTTTCGAGACAAAACGTCTGAATCTGGTTCGGGCTAAGGCAGTACAGTATTGGGGGTCATGAAGGCTTGCAAAAAAAGTAATAAAATTTCTAGGGTCGTATTTAAAAAAATGAATTTAGTGATGGTCCCAGAGACGAAACGTTACATATAAAAATTGATTATGCCATTCGATAGAGGGCAAAAAGTGGCCATGAGAAAGTGTTCTTTTTTTCAATATCACCACAAACAAGGCTGAAATGAAACAAAAACGGATTTCCAAAATTTCGGTTTTTTCAAATATTTCGAAAACTAATCATGTTAGCCTTGATTTTTAGAGGCATAATGTTGGTCCCCTGATTACGCAACTTTGCCCCCATTTAAGCTACCGTATCTCTTACCGTTTTCGAGATCCCTGTAGTGAGAAGCGAATTTGTAACAGCCTGTATTAAAAAAAAGGATATCATTTTACTAATTTCACAATAAAAGATTAACTACACAAGATACTACGAAAGATTTTAATATTCAACCATTTTAAATAAAACGCAAGAAATGTCTGATTTTTGAAATTATAATAAGTATTGTTCTTATTGCCAATTTTGTGATCCCCCAATATTTATTCCCTTATCTTTAATATATTTCAGCAGTTTCAAAATAAAAAGTTAGTCAAAATATTTGGTGCCTACTATCTAATAATTACTGGGTTGTAAAATATGCTATTTTACTAGGTATTAAGAAATTTTTAAGTACTAGCATTTTCCTACCTAAAAAACATCATTTTAAAGGTAATATGGACCATATTAAACAAATATTAAATTGTCTGTTTTTAATTTAAAAAAGCATATTATAGGATAGGGGAAAATCTTAGGTTAGAATACGTTTACTTTCAACTCTAATCCGTTATTAAAATATAAACTTACGGTTTGTCTGGCTGATTTTTCCTGGCTTTCTGTTCTACGGCTTGAATTTCTTCAGCTCTTGTTACACTTTGAGCCCTTTTTCGTATTCCATCTTGTTCAGACATTCTCAAATTTGTTAAAAAAACTCGTAATCAACTAGATACCTACTACACTTCAATAATTTCTAACAGTACATAGCACACAACTAGGTACCTCTAAATACTAAATAGGTAACCACCACTTTCGATATTTATCATATCATTTGCTACCTATAGATAAGAGATAAAATATAAGCTACTGAGAAGTGAGAATGCTGAATTGAATACGTGCCTCGTTCGTGTAAAATTTAAGAGTGAAATGTATGTTCAGAATTGGACTTTTGATATTTCGACTTTTGACTTTTTTTATCTAACCAACCATGTTTTCCGTTCTATCCAAAGCTGGTGCTAGTACAGCTAGTGCTTAGCCTTGGTGACCCAATAACAATAAAGATGATAAATTACGGTGTGATCAACATAAATACATAATCAAAAATCAAATCGCATAATGGGAATAATACCTATTAAGAAATAAAGTAATACCGGGAAAATTACAGCACAGGAGCAAGCCTGGTTGCATACCTTTATGTATTTGATTGTTTATTTTATGAACAATATAAAAAAACTATTATTATTATTCCAATATAGCTATGTATTTTGTATAATAGTGGAAAAAGTATCACTATCTTACAGATCATTGAAAAATATTATAAAAGCAAAAAAGTAGGAACAAAATGTAGGGAGTAATTAATTTTATAGAGGTACCTACGTTTTTTTCATCTTTATAAATCAACAATTATTTCTTTCGTTCAGTTAATTTTTACTTTCTTGTCTTCTAATAAATATATTAACAAATGTTTCATTTGTGCCAAAAACTTCCTTACTAAATTATATTGGAGTAATAATATTAATAAATATTCCTATATATGTAGGTATGTATGTATGTTTGATCATTATTATTTCTGTTGGACTGAATTCGATTAGAACGCTTAAAATGGCAAATGGACCAAAAAGTGAAAGATACGAAAAAAAGTCAATCTTGATCAAAGTTTTTGCTTGTTTAGAAAATACGAATAACCATGACGAACTTTTTTGTTTTACAGGATGGGTCAAAAACACAAAAATGTTATTTTGCTTAAGAGTAGTAAACATACGTTATTTTGCAACAGGATGGTTGTCCAGCATATTGTGTTCGTGAGGTAACAGAATGGCCTGATCATAGATTTGGTCCAAGATGGATTGGTAGAAATGGTCCAATTTTGTAGCCTTCTCTAGGAGCCCTGACTTAACCATGGCCGATATCTTTTTATGGGGCCGTTTAAAACAAATTGTTTATACTACTCCAATACCAAATAATATTAAAAGGCAAAATTATCCAGGCCGTCCGTTCAATATCCCAGGAAGAAATCAGAAATTCCTTCAGATATTTAAGGAAGCAATTAGAATAATGTGTTCAATATGGGGGTGCATGGTGTTTTTGAAATTTGATATCTTCATCATATTGCTTTGTTTACTTTTTTTAGATTAACTGTTGTAATTATGTTCATATTATTTAAAAACTACACTTAATAAGACATATTTTAGTTTTGTACTTTATCCTGTATAAAAAATTAAATTTTTGATAACTTGATTCTTAATTATTTTTCAAGCAAAATCGTTTATCAAGAATGCCTTTTTTTCGTACCTTGCAAAATAAGGCGTTTACTTTTACGCAATATAATATTTTTGTGTTTTTGACCCACCCTGTACAACAAAATTGAAGTTCGTCATGGTAACTCGTATTTTCTAACCAAGCAAAAACTTTCATCAAGAATACATTTTTTTCATATCTTTCAGTTTTTGGTTCATTGTCCTCTTGTAAACTCAATACGCGGACATACTGTATATGTATAAGGTGCACACAAACTTTCATTTCAATATTTTTATTTATTTAAAACAAAATATTTAAAATTAAAACATTTATATGATTTTTTAAACTTTTAACAACTGATATCTCATAAATTAACGTTTGAAAGACAAATATTTAAATATATTAAAAAATATTATTAAATTTGGACAAGGATCGAAAATGCTACTTCATTGCCAACTTATTGTTATATCCCACAATATTTTCTTCACTTAATTTTCTCATCTAATTACTGTTGCCTTGTTGCCAATTAGGATAACTTCAAATTATGTATCGATTTATATTTAAGTGATACACATGAACAATGTTTCATTACTTAACGTGCCTGAATATCTCTGCCGTCTGGAATACCTATGTAGGAATAGAAATTGGCTGTTGTCATTGTTTCCATCTCTTTTTTTCAAATGGCAAGGTAAAGACAAATCTTGGCAGGGTACAGAGCATGATACATTTTTTTATTCAAAATTAACAAAAAAAAACTAATTCCATTAAAATTTCGACACAGGTAGATACCAATTGACAGAAACAGATGTTCTCTTATTTTTCACAAAATTTTTCTAAGTTACAGCATATTATGTTTGAAAAATGGAATGTTTGGATCAAATTTAAATTTAATAAATAGTAATAACTACCTACCAAGAAAATATAATTTTGTGAAAAATGCCGATGTGTTGCACATAGTGTGGCCATCTAAGAGCCAAGACAACCTTCTAACTTTTTTTTGAGGACGGATGATTCAAATTATTTATAGGCTTTTTTTATTAAAAACCTGACTACATACCACCACATAAAATCCCTATATCTCAAATTTGTTCGATTTATAATACAATAATTAAAAATTGTTATGTTAAATTTACGAAGTTTCCGTTTCAGTTTCAAAATTTAAGAAGCATTGGAAATGAATAAGGATGAAAAAATAGCCAATTATTGACCCTGCTGGTTATATGGTAAATAGTAGTACCTATACATATGTATAAATTATTGTCCTAATTTTAGGCAGGACTTGGTATTTTCATAACTTTGGGCTCAGTAATTGGTTAATTTTTCATTTTTAGATATTTTCAGTTCCTTTTAGATTTACAAGATTTTAAATATTCAAAAATTTGAATCTGAGTAAAAAAAATATTTTACATTATAAAGTAATAATATATGAAATACAGGGTGACTAACGGTGACCAAAAATTAAAACTCGTACCTATTCTTTGGTGAATTTTAAGGGAAATCGTATTCTTTGGTGAATTTTAAGGGGTCTTTTATATAAAATTTTGGTCTAGGACGCTTTGTTAAAAAGACAGGATGTTAAATTTGAAAAAATATTTGTAATTTTTTTAAATAATTTAAAAACTAGTAAGTGAAATAATTTGAATTTGGGCACATGTATTCATATAAACATTTTCAAAATCCGAGGCCTTTTCTTAAAATTAGGTGCTCCAGTGGCGGAGATATAGGGTATAGGTTATTTTTCTAAATAAAATAGTACTCTACTGCTTTACAGTAAAAATCATCTTTCAATTTTCCACACGTTACTTCTTTCTTATGTTTTTCGAAAAAAGCCTGATTTTCAAGTAAAACTTGAAAAACATAAAAGAGTAGTAATTTGTAGAAAATTGAAAGACATCCGAAAATATCATGATTGTTACTGTAAAGCAGTGGCGTACTATTTTATTTAGAAAAATATACTACCAATACCCTGTATCTCCGCCATTGGAGTATCTAAATTTTAAGAAAAGGCCTCAGATTTTGGATAGTGTTTACATAAATACAGCCCAATTTCAAATTATTTCACTTACTAGTTTTTAAATTGAAAAAAAAATAATTTTTTTTTTTAAGTTTAACAACTTGTACCTTTTTAACGAAGCCTCCTAAATTTATATGAAAGACTACCCGTAAAAATTCACCAAAGAATACATTTCATTTTTGATCACTGTTTGTAAATCACCCTTAAGTGATTATGAAGTGGTTATGTACACAGATTTTATATAAAGCAAGCTATGGGTTGACAACTGGGTTTTATTGTTCAAGTTTCATTTGATTCTTTTTCACCACTATAGTTCTATCTGTGAGCATATAAATTCTTTCCCAAACCATCAATCAAAATATTAACTTCAATTTCACCAGCCGGTCACTGAATCTTTTGCACACATGGTGTGCTACAGTAAGATCATATTCAATACATAGTATTAAATAATTGTCTATCAACAGATCCAGTGCAATACGGTTTCAAGGGGTTTAGAAATTGAATAATTTATGCATTATGAAGGGATAGATATTTTTTTTATTCTTCGAGACAAAAAAAATGTATAAGGATGAAGGGATCATTCACGTCTGGCACCCTTGTTCCTACAAAAATTCCTTTATTCTCATAAACTATTTATTTTAAATGTAATTAATTATAAATCCAATTCGTTTTTTAAATTCCACATACGTACATTTTACCTCTGTACGTGCCACTGTTGTTTACTTGTTTTTTGGAGGCGGTCTCTGATTTACGACCAAGCTTACTAGGTTAGTATTTGACGTATAAACGACCACTTCGTACACTCGATGCACCTGGGCGACTACAGCTACTACCAGAACACAGTGCGTATGCAGCGGTATTTCAGATTTTACGTTCAATTTCATTTTAAATTTGAAACGGTACATCTTACGCGTTCTAAAAATGATGACACAACTTTTCTTTGATAAAAGACTGACAGTTTTGCTCTACTTTACATCAAATACGATCCTACTATAAGTACTTCATTTTGAAGAAAAAAATGTGTTTTTAAAGTATATGAACATTGTAATTATATATTGTTTTGAAGGAAATTTATCACTAATACACATTATATTGCAAACGTTTTTTTATTAACAATTACTTAAAAGTTAATCTAAAACATTCATAAGAAGGAATGTTCAATAAATAATTATTTAGAATTATGTACATAATTATAATAATCACATTCTTGTACAGGACCAGCCTGGGTTTGAGAAACTCAAATACACACAATTTATTAAGTCAGAAGTGATAAATGCTAATACTCATCTCAATTAAAATAAAATCTTCGAGTGTTTCATCCTGCTCTAAAATGCTACTTTGATGCCAAGACTGATATATTTAGATATGGAATGGCACATGTAAATTAATAAATATATTTGAAGAGAGCAAATATCAATGAATGAAATTACACCTATATAAGTGATTGCATGTTTCATATGTTATACAACTTAATGTGTGAAAAATGAATAAACATTTTGTGGTTTTAGTGCAGGAACAAAATTATAATACACAATAATTGCGCTAGTTGTAATTAGCTAAGACTGAGGCGATGTATATCATCAAGGCTCTTTTTTGCTTTCTGAGAAATGTCATCCATTGATTTCTTTGCACTAGATGCAATATCATCCAAAGATTTCTTTGTGTGACTAAATATTTCGTCCGTACTCCGTGTCAAATCCTTAACTTCATCATTAATTTTAGTAATAACCCACTCCATGGCTTGACGACCTTTTCCCGCATTATTGGATATTGAGTTAGTTAACATATCTTCCATATAATTTGTAAGAGGTACACCTTTTACTGTAACTACAGCTTCTTGTTTAAGAAGAGTTTTACTTGGATCAGTGGGATGAGGTACATACTTTAATGTTTCGTCCACTGCTATGTGTCGACAGAAGGTCAGATTTATTGTCTTCAAGACCATGTGACGTGATATTGGATTCACTTCAGACTGTTCACTGGCATAACAAATTTTAGCAGATCCTATCAACTGAAAGTATGAAAAAATCAATATCAGTAACAATAGAATATAATATCTATCCTTGCTTGAAATGTACACATCTGACAATTTTCTCTATAACTCAAGAGGGACACAGCATGCGGCACATACCATTTTTTAGGAGATAATTTCTATGTCCACAATGAATAAACCTTTCATAACAACACCAGATCTCAAAAAAGTTTCAGATATATTTGCAAAATATTCTTTTTCATAATCAAATAATATATACAAATTGCCGTTATTTAATTCCCAAAATTTACCTAAATTTTCATAAAATTACGTTATGAAGACTGAAAAATGGAATGCCCGTAAGAAATTAAAATTTAAATAAATAACTACAAAGAAAATTTAATTTTGTTAAAAATTAAAAACTTGTATCTATCAGATGATTATGAAAATAAATATATTATGCCCAAATATATGCAACGCTTATTGATATTTCAGGGTCGACAACCCCTATTTTAATATTTTATTTCGTAAATACCAAATATTGTCACCATCAAAGTTTTCTGAGTATAGAAATCATTCCCTAAAAAATGGTATGAGTCCCATATTTCATTATCAAAATAGGAACACTTTAATTTATATTATAACTACCTACTGACTACTATTAGTTGCTTAATACATTTTTTTATTATTTACAACAATGTTCATTATCATTTTATTATTCGTTATCACATTTAATCAAAAAAAATCAATTCAAATTTAAAAATTCATATTAAACTCTTGTCCATTAATAACATCAGATTTATTTTGTTAAAATTAAAGTATTTTGTCAGTGACATATTTAGGCGTAATCGAAAATCTAAGCCATTTTATAACGATATTTCATATTCAATTCAAGGAAAACGAATATTTATTCTAAGTTAAAAACTTAATTGAACATTACTTCAATACAATAATCGATATTAAGTATAAGTTGAATACCTATATAACATTTAGTAAATGTATTATATGAAAATTTACTGTTTCTATTCTTATAAAGCTAAAAATATCATTATCATGCATGTACTTAAAATATCCCGACTTTAAATTCTAATGCATTAACGTCAAATATTTTCACGTGCTACTCGTGTGGGACCAAAGGTCAATATTTAAGTGAATAACCCCACTTAATATGAAAACCTTAAAGGTTAGTGCGTTTATAAGATGGATTTTTCCATAATCTGATAAAAAATCCATAAAATCATCATGTCTAGACAACATGTTTGAATCTTATGAACTATGAATGCACTGGGAACTGAGATTGTAAAGTGAGAATCTGATTTACATCATAATAGAATTACGAAATGATGACGTATTAGTTAACTGAGCTAACCTATACTTGTTAGAAACTAGGGATTAGGTATAAATTTTTAATTGATACCATAAGTACATAAATTTTAAAATTACGTAAGCTCAATAAAATGGGGTAATCTACAATTTCAACTTGTACTTACTGCTTGGGCCCATTTTGGAAAATACCAAATTGAACTAACGAGTCTGTGTGTATGCAAAACGCCGCCAACGACCCTCCTTTCCACAACATCGGTGCCTATTACTGCAGGGTTATGGGGATTCGGGTATTTTCTCCAAGCTGCTGTGGCGACTGTTTCCCAAGGATGGCTAAAACATAATATTAATTTATTTCCTAGAATCTTTGCAAAGCCCAAATTATTTACTTGAATGTGTGTTCACTTGTCCAAATTTTCATATTAAAATGTTGGAATTAAATACTATTAAATTTTTACGTAAATTAAAAATTGGGGAACTAACAACCGTCCACACACCTTCCCGACGGACAAACATAAAGTGACAGATCGGCGATCGGGGCGATAGGGGCTGCGCGTTGCGCGCTGCTCACAGTTCACACTACACTCCCACTTTTGACAGGTCTGTGCATTTAGTACGGGAACGCGTCACAAGGTGCGCTGATAATTTAGATTTTGCAAAATAGAAAATCAAACAATCTCAGTTCAGTGCAGAGTTGCCAGATGTGAATATTTTCTTGTATTATAACTGTGCCTCCTTAACTACAAATTCAGTTCAGAGCGAACAGCCGAGCTAAGCAAACGTGTTTGTTTGTGAGGTGAAGTGAGTGCAACGAGCAAAATCTACCTGCCTTTATAAGGGCTACTTGGAAAGAATCCCTTTCTTTCCTTTTAATCACCGACCTAATCCCCGGCTTAAGCATAGAGGCCGTCAGCATCTTTGTTGCAGGTACCTGTCCCGGGGTTATGCCCAGGTAAGTTTTTACTTATTTATCAGTTATTTGCATTACTTTAGAATACATTTCTTTAAAATTGCGACCCCCGACAAACAATATACCAGACAGACAAATACACCAAAAGACACGTACGCCCCCGT